CGGACTTCAAATAATTTGGGGTTTAAACGATTTCCTGGAATGAATTAAGTTCAAAATACAAGGCATCACTATATAGGGTGGCCCTTATTTTCTGATTTTTAAATCCATGAGATGCACTCCCTAGAATGGTTCCATTTATAATGAAACTAATCTGTGTCAAAATTCAGCCCAGAGGGATGAGTGTAAGTGGTGCCCCAAAGACTTTGAAGTTTTGAAAGTAATATATCCTTTATTTTATATGTATAATTATGTGACCTTTCGGGTCGGCACCTCTTTGGTACCCTGTCAGGATTGACACCACCGTGTTTCGAGAAACACGGAAACCGAGACGGCGATTACGTCACGCTGTCGAGCGAGCGGTCCCGTACGTGGTCAGACGGATTCGTAATGTCGATTCGAGAGACAACATTGGAAATGACTCAAATACACTTAACAATTAACAAGGGTTTATTTAAAAATCTATTGGAAAAAGGATTGTCTCGGAGAGAGAGAGTTCACATACGATTCGCGGGATGATAAATACCTTTGGTAATAGGTCCCGGTCGGGTCTTGTTGAATCGGAGAATAAGAGCTTCAGTTATGGGGTTTTCAGGATGTATCCAGTTCTGATGGGTATTTTTCGTTATCCAGGCGATGCACTAACACACACACAGAGAAAAGTTTATCCTATGGCGATTAATTCGGATTAATTAATGGATGATAATTGAAGGGAGGACGACTTCTTTCCTCTCTGAGGACTAAGGCAGCGACTAACTCTTTTCGGCCGTCTCTGATGATATTCACGGACGATTTCGGCTGTGCAGAGGTTAATAGTTCACGAGAAAGCGTCATGTTGCTTTCGAGAAAATGTAACGGGAGACTTTCTCAGGTAGCTAAGAACAACAATTGTTGCATAATTCGCGAAATGTTATTATTAAAGACTATTTCAAATATAAGAATTTCTGCTATCTCACAATTATACACTTTGTCAATTTTAGAGCAGAACACTTACATTGTTGTACTATACAGTACATATCCCAAATCAGTCTTTCCAGTACGTGCAGGCATGATGGCATAATTTTGTCTTGAAATTTAAAACAATAATACTAATAATTATTATGGTAATTATTTATTATCTGTAACAGAAACTGCTTTTGTCCTTCATTTTTGGTCAAGATATTGTTGTATTCCTGTATTAATTTTACACCATATTCTGCCACATCAGTCGTTACTAGTAAAGTCAAAGATATGGAAAGCTTTATTTGTAGTGTATGTTTGTTTCTCACTTGTTAGGATCCAAGTTCAAAATTTGAGCTAAAATTTCAAATTTCAAAAAGGAAGTTCATGGTTTTGGAGGTAACAAATTGACTTAAATCTTGGAACCATATGTTCTTTACATTCTTCTCGTTGATGATAAATCTCTTGTTACTGCTGTTCATTTTATAATCAGCAGATCTCATAGTTTCAGCCATTTTCAGTTTGTTTCCTTGCATACATGCATCTAACAAAGAATGCAGTTTGCATGCAGTTTGTCTAGGCATACATGCATCAAATAAAGAAACAGCTACTATTTCAGGAGCCAAATACCATAAATGGTCACAAAACTTGTATAAAGCCATCTGGGAAACTTGAATGTCTGGATATTTTGTCAATGCTTTAAAGAACAAAAAGTCATTGCATAGTCCTCCCACACCATTTGACATCTGAACCAAGCTTTAATGTACAGTAGAACCTCGATTATCCGGACTAATGGGGGATGAAGGTAGTCCGGATAAGGGAAAATCCGGATAATCGAAACAAATACTTTAATTTGTCTTTTAATGATAACACAACATGTTTTTTTTTCGATGACATATCGGTAATATTAAAAGTGAATACTGTATTTAAATTGTGATCAAATTTTCAAGAAACAAACGTTCGTATTGAATTTGGACTACTACTGACCAACGCTAACAGACTACCTATTGTTTAAAAGGCCCTCTGGTGGCGCAAGAAGACGGATTTTATAAAATAAAAAGCAGTTGAAACTGCATTTTATGAATAAAAATTTGACAAACTATTTATCGTTTTATGACGAGTAAAATTTTTTTGTCGCGTTCACGGCTTTTAAGTAATGCATAAACCTTCGAGGCGTGAGGCCCTTCGGACCGCGAGGCATAAGCGGTGGCCCACGTCGTCCATGCCTTACGCCGCCCTTGGTCATAGAAATGATGTAATTTGAATATAAATTATTTATAAATACGTATGTCAAGTTATATTTTTATTACTACGTAAAATATATTTAAGAGTTTATGACCACTGTGCTGGGTGAGACGTTGAAACAAAAAAGTTATGCATTCCATCACGTACATAAACAGTGTCGTAATTCACCAAGTGCAAATCAGCAAATTTGTAAAATTTTTGTTTATTTTGAACAATCCGGATAATCAAAAATCCGGATAATGGAGGTCCGGATAATTTAGGTTCTACTGTACTTGTTTACAATAAACAAGCAGAAGTCTCTAAGTGCTTGTTCTGCATCTTTCAAATGAAATTGTTTCTGAAACAAGAATATTTTAAAGCTGTATATTGCTTTTGACATCCACTTGACATGATGGAAAGCATCTGGGCAATGGAAAGGAGTTTTATGTGGTGGATTCCTCCATGAAAAATTACAGTGGTCTCCAGATTTCCTTGTAGTGATCTTTATGTTGCCTTTGTTACAAAGAACTTAAACAGAACTGCAATACTCGGTCACGAAAGTCATGAACAAATTATTTCACGTCATCTGCAACTCAAGTCTGAAATTTTGACATATCAGACTTGAGTTGACACATGGTTTGTCATTGATCTCTGAGTCATTTGGAAGAGTTGTACATCTAGACCAGACATTACTGGTGCAAACTTTACATGTAACATGACTCTTAGTACCATCAGCAAGCAAATAGAGTGAGTCTTTCTTCAGGAAATGCTCAAATGAAACACAAGTTCCTTTCAGGTAACCAGTATTAGAAGTAGTAGTGTTGCAAAAAAGCCTTAACTTTCTCTCGAATACCCCATTTTTCAAGTATACCATGTACTGCCTCTGCTTGACTCTTTCCAGTTACATCTTGAAGTTTAGGAATGCTGAACAGTTGCATAAACAATACTACCATTGGGACCCTCTAGATTGTTCCATGTTCAGTAAGATCCAAGTTGGCAACACTAGTAGATCTATTCCCTGGACACAATGGTATTGGTAGTTAAGTTAGGAAAAGTGCTGTGTTATGCAAATCTATGCTATACGAAACAAAGGACTAATGCAAAACATAGGGTTAGGTTTCAAAAGTTAACAAAAATATCCTATTCTTTTTTGTTGCTAAGAGAAATATGTTTTGTTTTTACTGTCACAACTAGATGCATAGACAGACACTAAGCATTTCTTACATCAACCTCTATTTTTATTCAAGTAAGCATGCATGTTGTCTCAAATTTGACAATGGATTTTAAAATATTGAAATTTTCAATTTGTTTTGTGCCATTTGGCAGATCAATATCAACAAAAAAGCATAGAAGATGATGATATTTTTTACTGTAAAAAGTATGGCACAAAACAGATTGAAAATTTCAATATTTTAAAATCCATTGTCAAATAAAAAACTTAAACCAACACCTTAATATTTGCTGAGAGATTTTTAATGTAACAAATGTTTTCGATCTATTCGATAGATCATCTTCAGGTTAAAAAGAATATTTCTTAAACGGAACAACAAGTTCAAAAATTCAAAAATATTAATAACCAATAACATTTCCATTAATAAGAATAACTAATACATTGTAAATGATACAAAAATGTAAAATAAATAACATATTACTCGTACCAAATATTAATACTGTCTATCCTATCTAGACATAATTCCCTTTAAAACATACTAGAGTTCATGTGCCTCTTGTAAGTTTTTAACGGCATACTTCCAAGCTGAAGGAAGACCCTCTGTGTCCCTTGTGTTAATGCATTTTTCTTTAAGCTTTCTTCTGTAAATTGCTTGTTGTTCTGTTTAAGAAATATTCTTTTTAACCTGAAGATGATTTATCGAATAGATCGAAAATGTTTGCTACATTAAAAATCTCTCAGCTAATATTAAGGTGTTGGTTTAAGTTTTTTATTTATTTAATTCTGCTGGGTACGAGTGTGGTTTCCATTGTCAAATTTGAGACAACATGCATGCTTACTTGAATAAAATAAATACCGAATAATGGAGTTTGCACTTAAAAACTGTGAAATTTTGTAAGGAAAATTTCCCAAATTTTTGAATTGTGTTAGAACAAAACCATGTTTATGGAAGATTTCCCCAATTTTTGAACTGTGTTAGAATTAAACCATGTTATATGAGAGATACCTGTATTTCGGTTTCCAGGGAATTAAATTTCTTTCATCATAACTTCAATGTTTTGTAATACTGTTTCTGGAAATAATATAATGTGGGTTGTGTGATTTAGGGTGTCTGGAAAAAGGTATTCCACATTCCAAACATTTTGTCTCTTGGCACCATTTATGTGACTTGGAACAGTTTTGAAGGGTGTGTCCAAGGAAATTCTAAAATCTAATTTTCTCTATGTTAATAACAGCCACACTAATTTATATATATATTATTTAAATGCCTTAGTTTAAAATAATAAATGGTTTTTTTTTTTTAAACTCAATATCTTCAGAGTGCATTGACAAAGAGAAAAAGATGCATTATGAATATATAAAATTAAAACAATAATTATGATAAATATAATTTTATTAATAGTGTTAAACAAGTATTTATTCTAATTATGAAATTTTAATGTAGAGGTTTTTTATTTTCAAAGCTTTTAATGATTTTCTGTAGTTCTTGAAATGAATTTATTGAAAATTGATATATCTGAACTATATGAAATAAGTTATTAAAGAAATCTATAATAGATTTTGAATTTTTGTTTCAGTAATTATCAATTAGCAAAATTTTTTAAAATAATGAAAATTGTATCTAATTTTATTTATTTTAAATTATTAATAATAATTTTAACTTTTTTAGCCACCTCTAGTCCAAGCAGTATTTAAAGGTGATATAAATGAAGTTCAGGAATTGTTATTTAATCGTGAAGAAGTTAATTATCAAGACTCTGAACGGCGTAGTATATTACATGCTGCTGCATTCTGTGGCCATGCAGAAATAAGTGATCTCTTATTATTAAGTAGTGCTAGAGTTAATACAAAAGATAATCATTGGGTGACTCCTCTTCATAGAGCTTGTTGTTCTCAAAGTGAAGTAAGTAATTTTGTCTTAAAGATGTTATTTTTACTGAGATTTTATTGCATTGATATTTGTAGGTATTTGCTTATTTATTAAACATAACTTTTTATTATTTATGTGATATCTGTTTGTTTTATATGTATTTATCATACATTATATGGTACAAGTAAAAGTTATTTTCTTCTTTAATATCATATAAATGCTACTGACATGTTCAATATAAGTTTGATTTATTGTAAAACACAATGCAAATTTTTAAAGTTTTGTAAGACTATTAAATGTCATGTGGGTTTTATATGTGGCTATTATAATGTTAGTTAATGTTAACTATTCTATCTGAATAGAAAGATTGCGACATTCAATCTACAAAAACAAAAACACAATAGCATATTACAAACAAACATTAACACTTTGGACACAATGATGAGATAGGAACTTTAACAGTCTGTACTAAGATCTTATTGGTTACTCAGAAACTAATAAAAATTTTCTTAAGTGTGATTGGGTAGAGGTTTTTACAGAATGCAAAAATTTGAATCTGGAGTGGAGACTAAGTGGTTCATAATTCTAAAAAATACAGTAGTTCTGTTCAGGGAAGGTCTCATATTTTTGAAAAACTTCCAAAAGCAGAAATCTGAGATAAAATCAAAATTCCCAAGAACTTTAAAAATAATAATTTACAAGTAATAGTATACAGTTGACTCACCATAAAACAAACACTGATAAAGTGAATTTTACCATTGCCCTGGCAAAATGCCATTGTCACAATGTTAAATAAAATTTGTCACAATAAAATGAACAAAAATTTTACCAGAATTCATTAAATAGAACTGTAAATTACCTACTAAACTGCCGAACGATCGCCTAAATATCGGGCTATTATATGGCAAATTAAATGATTAGAATAAAGTAATTTGTCATTAGATGTAGGCGTTAGGCGCCATCTCTTAANCTCGCCGGGTGTTACGTTAGCTGGCTGAGTGCCATTGGGGTCGTGGGCGATGAAGTCATCCCCAGTCAGTGATGTATTTAATGTATTTAACCAAGTAAGGTTATATCTAATCTAATATATTTCTGGAAGCGAAGACTTGCTCTGGGTGGCGTAACTGGCAAGCGCACCGCACGGCAAGCGGAGGTTGCGGGTTCAAGCCCCGTCCCGGGCCAGTTCTTTTATTCCAGAAAATTCTAAAATTAATTTAATAATTTATTTATTTAATTTTAATTATTAATTTACTTAAGAGATGGCGCCTAACGCTTACCTCTAATGACAAATTACTTTATTCTAATCATTTAATTAGACATATAATAGCCCAATATTTAGGCGATCGTTCAGCAGTTTAGTAGATATACTATTCGGGCTTTGAATGTTGTTATTTATGTAAATTACCTTCACAACTCTCAAGAAATAACTTTATTTCCAATAATGGTTGCTTTTTACACTTTTTAAAGTGAACAATAAAACAGACCAACAACTGCTATAAATGATTGGGCTATGGTTTTGCAATAATAATATATTACAAATAAATTTGGCTCTAGAGGGAGGCGTTAGGTGCCATCTCGTATTAAATTTAATAATTATAATTTTTAATTAATTAAATAATTTTAGACTAAACTGGAAGAAAAGAATCATCCTGGAGCAGGATTCAAACCTGCAACTGCCACTTACTGTGCAAATGAATTGCCAGTTACACTACTCAGAACTTCGGTCTGTCTCCTCTTCCAGTATATTTATCATTACGATATAAACATTATCAGTTACTATGGTGCTGACTGGGAAAGCATTCAGTGCCCTCATCTTGTAAACTCCCACACAAGACAATCAGTCAGCCATCAGTCAAATTATAGCACATGATTTATGGCAGTTGTTGGTGTGTTATTGCAATGTATCAGGTTTAGTAAAGTTGTTTATATTTTGAACAATTAAAGTGGTACTGTAATAGATGTTTCATTTTGGGTAGAATAGATTTTCTTTTCCTAGTAAGCAAAGATGGGTTTTACCTCTGATTGTAGAGCAATTCAAACATCTGGTTTTAGCAAACCATTCTACATACTCAGAAAATAGGAGTTAAAGTTTTAAGGACACACACCCTTTTTAATTTTTTCTTTTTCTATTCATCTGCTAGTTTGCATATTGGAAAGTGCATATAGTGATTAATCTTTAACAGAAAAAAAATAACTGATTTCTTTTAGCTTTGTTTTGTTTAACCATTCTAATATACTGCTCCACACTTCAATGGCAAATACTGCCTCCTCTTCCATCTTGTTTGATTTGAAAAACATTTAGAACATAAATTTGTTTTTGTAAATGAATTTAATTTTATTTAACTTTATTTAGTAAATTAATTGAAAATATTATAATTTAGAGATTTCGATTGCTTAATAAGCATTAACACCCTAAATTATATGACCATGAAAATTGTTAATATGAATTATTGATTAATTGAACTAACTACTGTTCCCCTAGTGATTCATATTAAAGTGAGTTGACTGTAATATCAAATTTCCAGGGCAGATGTGAGGTAAATTTGCTTTGTGTGTGTGTGTGTATTTATAGTAATTTTCATTCAAACTAGTACAGTACATGTCAACACCACTGTTAAACCTTTAATTCTGGTAAGAAATAATACACAAACGAACAAATGTTTTCAATCTTAATCAAGATCTGCCTCAGGTTTTGGATCACTTGAGTTCCAATTATGGAATGCAAAGATTCAAATGTTTTTAAATACAAATTATTTTAACCAGATTAGAATTAAGAACTAAAATTTAATAATTTTTATATTTTCTTATATGTAAATTTACAATTTATAAATCAATACAGAACTTTGAAAGAATATATTTTAAAATTTATATACTGTATAATAAATACAAACAAATAATTGTATTGCCTTTTAAATAGAAATTTATAATAATTGTATATTTGTAATATACTTTTATTTAAAGTTATTTATAGTAAAAATTTATTGTATAGATACTTTCAAATTGTTTACTTTCTTATATATATTTCTTCATGCTTTAGTAATAATGGAAAAATAGTATTATAAAATAATAGGACAACAAAATGTAAAAATTAATAAAGCTGTTTGAAAATTTTGTCAAAAAAAAAAAAAAATTATTTTGAATAATCTTGAAAATTAGAAATAATCAGTTTTCAAAGGAGTATCTGTAAACCAAAATTTCTTATCAATGTTTGTGATCTGTTGCAGATAGTGAGATGTACATTTTTGATTTATAAAACAGATTTCATTTTGCTATTTATATACTTTTTGACCAAAAAAATTACATAGCAAAAAAGAAGGCATTGAAATTGAATGAAAATTTATTAGTGCAAAAGTAATGATAAAATTAATAAGTGATTATAATATCATAGCAAAAGGATTATTTTCTGTAGAACAATGAAAGGTTACTTTCATTGTTCTACAATTTAAAGTAACCTTTAGTATCTTGCAGGCAGCATTGGATACCCATATATATTGAGCCAGATGATGGCCAATGTGGTTAAAGAATCTGCCTACCACTATGGGATCGAATCTGAGTCATACTGAGCATTAGTCCCGTTTGGGTCTTGTCATGATAGTTTATGATCCAAGTTGTGGTCAGTTATTTTTCAAATTAGTTTGCATGGGCCATTTCATGGCAGCCTGTATTCAATCTAGGGCCAGTTATTTTAAAATTTCAAGTAATTGATTGTGTTGTCATGAGACAGAAGTTTGTTTATATAGGCTGTACCACATCAACTTACAGCCTGAATTAGGATAAGACTTTTATATTTTTTAATTTAATACATTAGATGGATAACAGCTTTTATATTTTGTTCATTAGTTTATTTTTCTCGAGTGAAATATAATATATGTTAAAACAAGGAATAGTCACTGAGCAAACTGGCCCTCTGGGAAATTGGAAATTTTCCAGAGGCCAGTCCATCGCTGTATGTAGGATCTCCTCTTGCTTGGATACATGAAATGATATGGTCAGACATGGAGACATACAGGCACTATATGGTATCTTGTGAGAATTTCCCACAGATGTTGCAACTGCCACTTCAGATCTCTCACACTCATATATAGGTATATATCTAGTTACGTCGTTCTCGATTATACGTCATTTCTCAAAAACATATATGGAAAAATAAAAAATAAGTTTAAGCCATTTTATTCAACTTTAGGTCTGTTTGCCGCAAATATTGAAATTGTAATATCACTAGAAAAGTGTTAAAAGCACGTAAAATCATATTAAAATAAATACATTTACAGTAAATGTTAATATAATCGTCATAAATCGTAGAGAACGAAATATGAAAACATCTGTGACTATGGTAATACCCCGAACTTACGCGATAGGTGGGACCGAGCGATAACTGCTTAAGTCAAATTCGCGTAAGTCGGAGTATAATTTCGCAATTTGTATAAAATCCAAGTCGGATGTATGTAAGCTAATAAATGTTCTCATTAATCTTATCTCGTCTTTTGATTCGTTCACGGTTGCAAGAAATCACCATATAAAGTCTCTCAAGTCTCCGTAGATATAACAAACACAGAAATAAATAACACATAATAAATTGTAGCTATGTGTAAATTCTGCGCGACACGTCCGAACATGTAAGCTGAACAATAGTGTGGGGGGAGTGAGTAATAAAGAGTTGCATGGCGCTCCAATAAAAGACAAATTGATGAGATTTGATAATCACGTAACTCCAGGTTTGCATAAGTCGGGGATAGCGTAAGTCGAGGTATTACTGTATGTGTTGTCATCTTATTTAGTGGTCTTTAAGAGCTCAATATTGGCATTTTCCATGGTAGTTCCAATATATACTGTTTGGTGTCATTGTCAGCGCCACTCATTATTGGTAAATTCAATATAAATTAGTTTATTTTTTACTATTGCAAAATAATTTTAATAACTGTATTTGTTATTTAACATTACAAAATCATCTTATTTTATAATGTCTTAGAGCAAACCACATTCACAAATAAAGATTCCACAATGTACTGTAAACATCGCCAAATTGTAAACAT